GTGGGAGGGGAGCTGTTGCATTGTGGTAAATTGTGGTCAATGTCATGAGACAAAGTATATGTGAACTGCTGTATGGAAAGTGAACTTGCTCTGTAAATCTTCACCCAAATCACAATTAAAAAAAGAAAGAGATTTTGTTGTAATGAAAATGTTCTACAGCTAAAGGAAAAAAGTTTGGAAACCACTCTATATAGAATTGAAGCCCCTCTCAGAAAGTTTGGAACAGAATTCTCTCTTCAACTCTAAAGCAAGGGTAATATCCTTAACCAACATCTGTATTAGAGTAAGAAGTAATTGTAAAATGATCACAAACCAAGGAGCAGCAGCAAGGAAGTGGATGTAAATGGATGACAATGACACAACAATGGTTATGAAGACAGAAATGTATGTAGGTGACAATTCCACCTGACCAAGTCTTCTCTGAATGCCACTCCCACAGAGGTACTCTGCCTGTCAAACTGGGTCAGGTTCGTACCAAAGTGGAAGGAATGAAGGTGAGAATCTGATATATCAGTTGCAACTGCCATCAAATACTTGTTTTGCTGTAAAAATCACTCCCCTTCTCCAATTATGTTCTGTGAATGAGTACTTGCTTTGAACAGCTACTCTTTGATACACTATGGATTCAGTATCATTGGAAATACCACTATCTGCACTTCTCAGAGTATTACCAGTGCTTTCCTTTTATGAAAGTTATGGATATTTCAGTCTTATGTCACTTTCTAAACTCTAAATTTTTGAAGAGCAGGGTCTAGTTGATTCATGTCTGTATCCCTGCCTGAAAGCACCTAACAGAGTGCCTTACTTATAAAGCAAGCCCTCAATAAATACCTTTGAATCAACAGTTCTCTGTCCAACCACCTGGGAATTAGTCTGCTGCTCAATATAGCACCCTACTGTCTATCAAAACAGACATATGTGGGCTTTAAATTGCTCTTAATCCAAATAGGTTTTGATTCTCTGTTTTCTGTTCTTTTTTTTCCGTCCAGGACAACCAAAGAAAACCTCAAACAGGTGGCTCAGAAGAGCAGCTTTCTTTGTGCAGAGAGAACTGTTGGGACAAGCAGCCTCTGTTATGCCAATTTCCCCTTCATCCTGCTCATAGGAGAGTTGTAGAAAAAATCCACACTATGCATATTGTGGCTAAGAGGCTAGCATTGCCCAACCAGCCCGAGGTGTGCTGACCACTCATCCGCCAGGTTTTCTCTAGTCTTTGCTCCAGAAAACTTCAACCAATAAGAAAACCCAGGTGCTAGGAAGTCTCCTGGTGGCCGAAGTGTCATCCTTCAAGGTATTTATTTCAGCTTTGCTGGGTAAGGAGCCCCCAGTTGATGCAAATGGTTAAGGGCTGGGCTACTAATCCAAAGTTTGGTGACCCTTTGAGAAGCACAGAAGAAAGGTCTGGCAATCTACTTTTGAAAGTGTAGAACCATTGAAAATCCTATGGCATGCAGTTTCACTATGTAACAACACACGGGGTTACCATGAGTTGGAATTGACTCGACAGCAACTGACTTTTTTTTTTTTTTCTTTGCAAAAACATACTCTGGCCATTAAGGTTTACCATGGAGCATAATGAGATGTACAACGATGATGACATTGATGCTGATGATGATGACAGCAGCTAAACTGTGTTGGATGCTGCGTGGCACACATTGGGCTGAGCTCCTTATGCACATGGTCTCATTTAAACTTCACAACAGCCCTAGGAGGTAGTACAATCATGACTTCCACTGAACATACGACCCGACTCTGCACAGCCCGACAGGGACAAGTGACTTGACCAAGGGCTCAGAACTACCACCATCACCGTAGGACTTACCTAGGAAGTACAGAGTTGGGAGGCCTGGATTTTGCAGGGGATGTGACTTTAGCTTCTGGCCCAGAGTTCCCTGAAGAGCCAGGAAGAGACTCCTGGGCCGGCCCCGACTGGCATGGAAGTACTTCCCTTGCTGAAGCCAGGAGATGCTCTTTATCTTTAACTTCTTTTTCCCGGGACTTGGCTTTGTGTTCTGCCAGAAGCAGGTCAAATTGCTTTTTCCGGCCTGGGACTGCCCTCCGATGGCTTAGCGAGTGTGTCTAAGGAGAAGAGAGATGAAAAGCACAGCCTCTTTGATCAGCACATAAGCCTGCTTCCCCAGGCCCTCGGTCTCAGAAACAGCAATTCATAGGCATTGAGAGGTGCCTGACAAGTCAGTCAACTTCAGGTATCAGCTCCTGTGCGGTGGCTGCAAAGAGGCAGTGACCACACAACCACAACCATGCCCTATGCTCCTGGCATTAAGAAGCCAAAGCTTCCTTCAGAAACTGGCCTAAGAGGACCAGCTTTAGCGCAGAACCCATCAAAGCCTCTCGGATGAAAGGCAGCCGTGCGGGGATGCTAGAGTTAATCCAGGTGCAGGCGGGAGGCTCGATGTGGCCCAGACAAACAGAGCCACCAAGCAGAGAGGGTCGCAGCCTTGATCCCAAGAAGCACTAGCAGTTCAATATGCGATACAGGGCTGAGGCTACCCAATGGCGGCCGCCTGGGGTCTGCTGTCCCCCAGCCACCCAGTGCGGCTGGATCAGGGGCGCGGCGTATCATCCACCCCTCCTTCCAGGGCGCCGCGCCGCCGCCGCTGCCGCCGCCGCCGCCGCCGCCGCTCCTGCATACATTAAACTGTAGCAGGGTTTAGAACCGCCTGTGAGTGCCTATAAATACAATTTACTGTCTGGCCTCACAAGTAACAGGGGAAGCCTATTTTTTTTTTTTTTCCTTCTTAAAAAGCCAGCCAGCTCGAGGCAGGCACTCTGCTACCGTGGAAAAGAAGAAAGCATTTCCCTTACAAAGAACAGCTGGGGGTCATGTCGAGGTTCCACACCCTGCCGTGTGCAGAGAGTGGCATGCAAACATTTCGACAAAGGCCCCAGCGAGAGCAGGAAGTATTTTTTATGGAAAGAGAAATACCTTGCAGGTGAGGGATCTTGTGCAAGGTTTCTTTGTCTCGGGATCCAATACTCCACAGTGTTTATTTGGGTCAAATTCTCTCTCTGGTTTAAGAAACAAACAAAAAATATAAGAAAGAAGGAGACTAAATAGGATTTGGCATTAAGACTACATTTTTAAAAAATGCACATTTGCACCAACAAGTGAGACATTGTTAGGCAATCTGGTTTTTTCTTCCTCCCTTTCCAACCGGCTGCTAAAATGCTTCAAGAACCGCTCAGAGGAAAATGGCGTTCCCCTGTGAACCCAGAGTCCCCAAGTCCAGCAGGGATGCGGAACACCGTGCGGAGCACCAAGCACTGGGGCTGGGGAAGGCCGTGCACCGGAGGGAAGGAGCCATGCTGCTGCGGTCAGAGTTTATTTTACTTCAAACGATTCCACAGGGACTTGGCACTTTGGGCAACGCTGACTGCAGCCCAGGGAGAGCCACCTGAGGCTGGGGGGCCACTTGTTCTGGGGCTGCTCCAGGAGTATGTCCATCCCCTGTCCTGCTGTCCAGCTAGTTTTGGCCACTTAACCTAGAGAGTATTCCTTGAGGTGTCAGGGTGACCTGCCTCCCTCCTGCATCAACCTGAGGGTTTCTACACAGCCCCAGGCCAGAAAATCATTTACCTGACTCAGGGACATTTTGGCAGTGTCATGGCAGGTGCATGGAGAAGTCTGGGTGTCTTATGTGCATCTGACATTGCAGGTGCAGAAAGAACCAAAAAAAAACCAAGCCTGTTGATGTCTGTTCCAACTCATGGCAAGCCCACGTGTTAGAGCACAACTGCTCTACAGGGTTTTCTTGGCTTTCAGACCTTTCTTCCGCAACACTGCTGCGTGGGTTTGAACTACCAAACTTTAGGCTGGAAGTTGAATGCAAAGGGCTGAAAGGACAGGGCCTGTTAATCTCACAGCTCACTCTGCCCCCAGCCCTAGGCTTGCCACACTAAGTGAGGTTCAGACAGGATGTCAGGGTCCTATGGATGAGTGACGGCTGTCTGCAGAGCCCAGGCTTTCCTAAGCTCCTGCCTTCCCACTGGTTTGTTAGCAGTTTGGCTGAGGTGATGATCAAGGAATCTGTTCTTTTATTACCCATTGTAGGTCTGTCCTGAGATTATAAAATGCCCTCTTCACCTGGAAACAGAAGGGATAGGAGGTGATCTCTTAACAACCCTTGGAGTTTTGCAGTTCCCCCTCTCAACTGGCCTACACTCTCTTCAGAAGACAGCCAACAAACACTTGGACTACTGACACAGCTCTTCTGGGTGAGCTGGGAGACCATTTGTGGGGTTGGTGGGTGTGTGGGTCTTCAGAAACTTGGTGAAGTGCCATTAAGAGGCTAAATGGCTGCAAATTAAAAAGAGGTTACCTAGCCAGAGAAACTGTCTGAAATGGATGGAGTAAACTCTGCATATAATAAACAATGTGTTTTATTTATTTGTTAAAAAAAAAAAAAAGGTTTTGGGTAATGGGGTGGCTGTGGTGATGATGTATGCCATAAAACCATTCTTATATCCACGATAGATTCTCTAGTTGGCTATCAACATACCCCCTCTCTGGTTTTGATGTGTCCTCTGTTTTTATCTTCACTTTTGAGAACAGAAAACTGCTAGGTTTGGAGATGCCTGTTTCCCATGAGCCCTCCCTGCCCACCAAGAAGTGAAGGTGCCAGGCCCCGGGCTGTCTGTCTGTCCATCAGAGTCAGACCATGTCCAGAGCCACACCAGCGGCCCATGTTGGCCTAGAAGGATCAGGTTGTTTGGCTGGGGCTAGGAGCTGGCTGCCAATGAGAAAGCAAGGCAGAAACAAGCAACAGACCCAATGAGACAAAGCAACTCAACCAACATAATGCAGAAACAACAAATAGCAATGCCCCCCCTTACCCCACCCCAGCAAAACAACTGCAGGTTGTGGTCCAGGCTGGCTGGGCACTACAGCTTCTGTCATGACAAGGAACCAAGGGCTCTGGACAATGCAGTGAGGCGTAAAGGTTTTTCAAGAAGGATGCCCACCTCTGCAGAGTGAAATCTAACCTTCTGCTCAGGAAAGAGCCAGGCCCCACCACACTCAAGGGGAGAACCAGGCCCTACTTTTCTGTCTTGATGGTACGTGAATAGTGTGTGCTATTGAGTCAATTCCAACTCATAATGACTCTACAGGAGAGAGCAGAACTGCCGTACAGGCTTTCCAGGCTATAATTTTTACAGGGGTAGATCATCAGGTCTTTTCTCTCATGGAGCAGCTGGTGGGTTTGAACCTCTGACCTTTTGGTTAGCAGCTGAGCACATAACCATTATGCCACTAAGGCTTCTTGTGTGAATAGTACAGGAGGGATTTGCAGGCTACAAAACCTGTTTCATTTGAATGCATTGGGTCTGAGGTATTTTGAAGAATTTTTGTTTTTTAATTACAAATGTAAGATGTGCTTGTTTTAGAAAAAAACTAGAAATATAGATAAATACAAAGTAGAAAGTAAAAACTGCCCACAATTTTGGGGTGCTAAAATTATGCTCACCCCAGAGGATATAGTTTGGCTTTCTTTTCTTTTTTTTGGCCACCATTAGATAAATACCCACAGTGTGTGAAGAAGTCTTTTAGAGAAAGCAGACTTTCTGGATTTAGTTCTACAACAAATCCTAAGCAAACATCACTCACGTGGGGGCCCTGTGACAAGGGAATCATCATCCTAAGAGATGGCTAGGTGCTGCCTTGAGTGACTGCTCTCACAACCAAGGAGTGGACCTGAACGAGATTCCCTAGCCTCTTAGCTGTGGGTCCAGCCTGAGCATTCCCTGATGGGAATCCCAACCTGCTTATGTGGGAAAGGCGGTCATAGCCCCAGGCCCCAGAATCAACCTGGAAACCGACAAGGACAAAGGGCAAAGGCTGTGGATTCCTGTGGAGCCCAGCCTGCCCTGAGGTACTATGACATGTCACTGTGGGTTTTCCAGTATCACAGAACAATGTGTCTATGGAAGCCCGGGCAGTGCGGCTGGGCAGCACGATAGGGCTGTGCGGAACCACGCTGCTAACAAGATCCTCAGAATCCATGGACTGTCATGGTCGGTTTTGAGTATCCTGCTTCCTGGTCACCACAGTAACTCCAGTAAAGCAATACACTGAGCAACAGACTTCATCTGCCTGGAAAAAGGGAACTGGTTCTCCTTTGCTTTTTTTTTTTTTTGTGTGTGTGTTGTGTGTGTGTGGGGGGTTCTGTTTGCAGGTCAACTCCATGTCCCCCTTAAAATGAAACAGCCCCGCTTAATTACAAGACCACATCACTCCTTGGTTACGAATGATTCAACTTCAGTGTCATCACGAGTTAGACTCTAATCACTGACACGTACCTGAAAGTCTCCTGTAAGGCTTGTTGCTGTTTTTGGTGCCATTTTGGTGTTTCTTGTCTACTGTGGCTGACAGAATGCCTTTTCCATTTAAGATCTTCTCTGGTGAAGGTGGCACTGACTTGGACATGAAAACCGACTTAATTAAAGGTGGAGTGGAGACGGCAGAGGGCGAGGTGGAGGAGGAGGTGACTGTAGGAGCGGTGGCCGAGTTCATTTTGACATTGGCACCATCTGCTTTCACTAGGTTAGGAATTTTCTCTAAACTGACTACAGGAACCGGAACGCTGAAAAACAAATGAATAAACACACACAATTGCCTTCTTTGATACATCTGGTCCACGGAGAATCTCTCCCAGCTTATCATTATCACAACGCTTCCTTATCACTTATTTATACGGCTCCTATAAGCTAGCAGCGTGAGTCCAGTTTTGCTGGGAGGGAGAGTCATGCCTAGGAAAGAATCAACAAGGGGTAAGAGGCACAGTGCCAGGGATGGCATTGGCACTGATCGTGGCCCCACAGATTCTACAATCCACCCCCCCTTCAGTCCTTATATGTCAGCTGTCTTGACACAACACCTTGGGCAGGATAAAGTGTCTGCTGTGAAGGAAGAAATGCTGGTTCCCTGAGTTCGGGGTGCCATTTGCTGAATCACACCCCTCCCCCCAGTCCTCAGCCAGTCTCCCACCCCAGCCCTGTTGGGCTTGACATCTGCTTAGCTTGGGAGTGCTGACAGATCACACCACGCTAAGGCGAGGCTTTGGGCCAGCATGCCACACAACATGCTGTTGGAGGGCTTCTGGATGACTCTCCTGTCCTGGGGACGGGCTCAAATTGAGTGAGCCGCCATGTAACATTACCTAATATTCCATTTTAGGCAGCTAGTTATGTAAATAGGCAATTCTCAAGGCTGGCAGGTGAGAGGATGAATTTTAAGACGACGGAGCACAAAGGTGTACTTTCCCTTGCAGAATCTGTCACCCTAGCCCCACTTCCCTGCTATTTCTCCTGGAATGGATGTGCATTTGATTTCTGTGCTTCCATAATGGGGAAGGACCCCATGACTACAGGGCTGTGGAGGGTTCTGTTCTGGGGTCTTAAAAAGATAAGGCAAATGAGCTTTGCTCTGGCCCCTGCACTAGATTCCTTTTCTCCTTGCAGGAGGGTAGAATGCTAACTCGCCGGCCCCCCAGTCATCTCTGAGCTGAGAGCGGGTGTCTACTTAGCTATCTGAATGCCAAATGATCTAGAATCTGGCTTTGACATGCCTGTAGACAATATAACGCATGAAAGAGAGGCTGTTTTTGGCAGGGAAGGAATCTTATCTGTCACGTGGCTGGCTGGTTTTCCCTTCTCTAAAGATTCACAGATAATTTCTTTGATCAACTTGCTCATGAAATTATTTTAGCAAACCTTCATCCTCTGCCCCTCTTCTGACTTTGAAGCAGGATCGCAGATGTTATTTACAGATCTTTGCCAATGAGAAGGGCACGCAGCAGGCTAGACTGTTGCCAGACATCATGGACATTGCCAGATGTCACATAGGACCACATGCTTTCTTGGCCTAGAGAAGGGTGGTGTGGGGCTTCATGTCCCAGGTGAAGGGAAGCTGGAATGATGGTTTTTAGTAATGACGCAAATCACTGCCAATTGCACCTTGCTCCAAGTGTCTGAGATGTGGCTGAACTGTGGCTACCTTCTATTTAATGGCAATTTTCAAGGCACTTACATACTGCTAAAGACAAGCACAAGGAGCTCTTTAAGAGAGTGAAAGAAGCCACAATAGATGCTACCTGGTGAAATTAGTCCTTCATTCTTGATTTCTATAGAAATTTCTACAGATTTCTCCTAGCGCAATTCCTTCACTTGTTGTTTTAAAAATACAAATTACGAAACTCACGAACCTCTGGTAAATTAAAATGGTGAATTTTACAATGTGTCAACGATACCTCAACAGACTTGATTTTAAAAATTGTTGTTGTTATGTGCCGTCGAGTCAGCCCCAACTCATAGCGACCCCTCCTTGGGTTTCCGAGGCAGTATCACTACAGAAGTAGGATTGCCCAACCTTCCTTTCGAGGAGTGGCTGGTGGGTTTGAACCGCCAGCCTTCTGGTTAGCAGTCAAGTGCTTTAGCCACTATGCTACCAGAGCTCCTGATTTTAAAAATACATATTATAAAAGCCACTCAAGAAGCTTCTGTTGATTCATTTTGCATCCTTGTTCTGATCTGCTTTTATTTCTTTATAAAAATCAAGCTTTGAGCGTTGATGAGAACACATGGACCGCTAGCCAGGTGAGGAGATTCCCAGGCACAGCACTGAGAAGCCTTCTCTGGAACACTTCTTTGTGAAGCCAAGTAAGTTCAGGCAAGAAGTCAGGACTTTCAAGTGCCAGATCTAGCTCCCGTTCCACGAGCTACTACAGTTAAGCAGAAAGCCCCCTGGGCACATGTTGAACAGTCATGAGCTCAACAGAGACACGATGCCCGTGACAGCATAATCCACAATTGTGCAAACTGAAATACATTTGTGAACCGAGTCTAGTACTCCTCCAACACTTGTAGTACAATCTGTGTTTCTCCCCTAAAGTCAATGTCCAGCTCAAAGTGTTCTCTTGGAGGCAGCCACCAGAGCACAGTTACACTAGGGATAGCCATTTGGGAAAATGCTAGTGAACTCATCTCCATGGTGATGCTTTTTTCATGCTGCGTGTAACTAAGCACGCACCAGGCCAGCTGACATCTGTGACTGTTCTCCTAATGTGGATTTTTCTCCACTATGGAATGAATGTGTAGTGGGTAAGGCATTTGGCTGCTAACCAGAAGGTCAGTGGTTCAAACCCAACAGTTGCTCCATGGGAGGAAGATGAGGCAATCTACTTCCGTAAAGATTCACAGCCTTGGAAATCCAGTGGGGGTCCCTATGAGTTGGAACTGACCCAATGGCAGTGGGTTAATATAATGAATGTAGTCCATTCATACAATTCACTGCAAACGCTCCCAGAACTCTGTATGAACTTTCATCCCAGGGTCTACAGGTAGGATGTGAACTTGGGACCTATTAGAAATGGGAAGGAACGTTCATGATGTGCAGACCTCTGGAACTTAAGTTTTCCTGGATGAGGAGTGGGAGGTTGCCATAGATTTAATTGTGTTTTCCCCCAAAACATGTATCAACTTGGCAGGGCCATGGTTCTCAGTAGTTTGGCAGTTATGGAATGATGTAATCATCCTGCATGATGTGATCAGCCAATCAGCTGTATGTTGGGGAGACATAATATCCTTACTCAGTTCAAAGCCTTTCCCTAGATCCACAGCTCTGCATTTGGACTTCTAGCCTACTAAACTGTGAGAGAATAAATTCCTGTTTGTTAAAGCCATCTACTTGTGGTATTTCTGTTATAGCAACACTAGATGACTAAGGCAGAGGTGTTAGGGAAAAAATTCTGATCAAAAATTTTCAAAGGATTTCCAAGATGAGATGAGTCAGAAAGGAGCTAAGCTGTTGAGTAAACGTCCCTGATGCCAGGTAAGGGGTGTGTGTGTGTCACACCTTGGTGGTGGCAAGAGGAGATAGAGTTCTTCTTGGGTGGGAGTTATAAGGGACTCTGCTAATGGAGAGAGACTACAGATAAAGCAAAGCAGGTAGAACCTGGGAGCTGCCCCTGACACCTTCTTCTTAGGTGTCCTTTGGGCTGAGAAGGTACCTGTCTTGGTTCTCTAGTGCCACTATAACAGAAATACCACAAGTGGATGGCTTTAGCAAACAGAAATTTATTCCCTCATGGATTAGGAGGCTGGAAGTCTAAATTCAGAGTGTTGGCTCTCAGGCAAGACTTTCTTTCTCTGTTGGTCCTTGTCTGCTTTTAACATCTGTGGGCCTGGCATCCCTTGGAGATCTCCATGTGTCTTGGCACCAATCTTACCCTGGGTCTAGGAGGTTCTCAGCACAGGGACCGTGGGTCCAAAGGATGTGCTCCACTTCTAGCTCTTGTTTCTTGGTGGTGCTGAGGTCCTTCTGTCTCTGTGTGCTTCTCTCTCCCTTTCTCTCTTGTAAGATAAAAGGTGATGCAGACCTGAGGGACCAGGGCTGTGACCTAAGCAAGGGTGTTGCATCTCACCCTAATCCCCCTATGACTGATTGGCTGATCAATTCAGATATCACCATGAGGGATGATTACATCATTACATAACTGCCAAATTACATCATTACATACATGTCAAACCACTGAGAATCATGGCCGAGTCAAGATGACACATATTTTGAGGGGACACAATCCAATCCATGACAGTCCTTCTGCTGGGAGTTAAGAGGGGCATGAAGAGTCAAACACACCCTCAGAGGAAACGAGAGAGGAGTTTGAATCACACTCATCTGACCTTGCCATCCTCATCCCCCAGACAAATGCTAGCCATTAGCTCATCTGCATATTCAGCCTCTTTTCTTCACTGCTATGGCAACAACCTTGAGATCCTAAACTGATGGACAAAGGAAGGAATGATTGCAAGATGGTGCCACAAAAACTGGAAAGCCAATTGAGAGAGCCCATCTTTCCCAAGCTAAAAGCTTGGGCTGCCCTAAGAACCTGTAGAGAGTTCCTTACCCCCACCTGGCTTGCATGATGATACCTTGCCTTTAGCTATTCTTCAGGGAGTGACATGCACGGCTCTTTGGAATCCAACACTCAGTACTGTCTTCTGCTTTCTCCCATTTGTCCCTTCTTGATCCTCTCACTTCCTCTGCCATGTACCTTCCTCAGCTAGTAAAGTGTCCAGTGAGTAAGGACCCTTCTTGATGGCAAAAAAACAAAAAACCAAGCTCACTGCTGTCGAGTCGACTGTATAGTGGGCCCCAAATAACAGGCTTAATTATTTTCCATTTGGAAATAAACTAAAAGATTCTAACCTCTGCTGTCCTAGTCAGGGCATCTCTCCTCACTGAAGGAGCACTTAACTCCAACACCGCCAGGTGCGGCTAGAAGCTGGGAGGGCATGGTTAGTTGGCAATATCCAGATGACTAACTAAGTGATTTAGGCGCTCTGGTGGTGTAGTGCCTAAGGCACTTGACTGCTAACCAGAAGACTGGCAGTTCAAACCCACCAGCCACTCCTCGGAAGGAAGGTTGGGCAATCTACTTCCGTAGTGATACTACTTCAGAAACCCGAGGAGGGGTCGCTACGAGTCAGGTCCGACTTGACAGCACATACAACAACAACTAAGCGATTTATTATTCTGTTTGCACAGATGATAAACACGTCTGCAAGTCATCCCTTGGTAACTTCA